GTAGTTTGAAAATCAGAGTTAAAGTTCAGAAATTCATTGCACAGGCAGTCCCCAAGTTACGAACAAGATAGGTTCTGCACCTGAAACTGTAGTTCTTCAAGTGGTCATCTTCAAGTGTTTTCATACTGACCTGTCCCCTGCCCCATTCTGCTTTCTTTGGTTCTTTGGATGCTGCTGTTGTGACGTCCATGGAATTGCAGGTTTATATAGGAAGGGCTCTGTGTATTGCCTCTGAGAATGCGCAGAGTTGCTGCCAAAAGGCATGCATAACACTTGTAGAAAGTTCCAAATGGTGCACTGGACAGGTGCAGTCCCCGTTTGTGTAACTTCACATATGACTACTTGAAGAACTACATTTCCAGGTATGTGGCCTGTCTTTCCCTCTTTTAGGATGCAGCCATGTACCAATTTACAGTATATGTATATGATTGTGCTGCTTTTGCCTACACGCAGGCTTTGGCTCCATCTAATTCCTCCCCTTTCATTTTTTTTCTTGAGTTTGGTTTGTGGTCTCTAGAAATGGAGTTTGAGGCAACTGAAACGGAAGATGATACATTTACTTGAAAGGTGTTAATTAAAACAGTTTTGGGTTCCCATACTATTTTTCAGCACATCTTCTGAAAATGTGATGATTTCTCAGGGTATTCTAAGCTGAAACTGGTGGCAATTCCCAGCTTTTCCAACACTTCATTTGGTTATAAAAATAACACACATCACGGCTTTCAGATGCGCTCTACTAGTGGCGAAGGATCTGCTCTTTCCAATTCTTTCACTGCTGATTTTAAGCATCCTATAGAAATATGGATGCAGCAGTTTAAACAGCTGAGCTGCTGAACTTGCTGACTGAAAAGCTGGCAGTTCGAATCCGGGGAGTGAGGTGAGCTCCCATGCTTAGCCTCAGCTTCTAGCAACCTAGCAGTTCCAAAATATGCAAATATGAATAGATCAAAGTAATGGTGCTCTGTGCAGTCATGCTGGCCACATGACCTTGGAGGTGTCTATGGAGAACTCCGGCACTTTAGCTTAGAAATGGAGATAAGCACACCCCCCCCCCCCCCCCCCCCCCCCCCCCCCCCCCCCGGAGTCAGACACAACTAGACTTAATGTCAGGGGAAAGTTTTCCCTTCACTTATAGAAATGTGGTAGAGTCAGGCCTATAAACAACGTAAACAAGGTTCATTGAGGGTGCACACTGCCATTCACACAACACACATACCAGCAAGTTGATAAAAGGTAAGATCTACAAAATGTGTCAGTTAATTTATAAGGGTAAGTCCAGCTCAAAGTAGTTTGCTGTTTTAGAGCCAATGTAAATTTTGTCCTTGACCCATCTCATGTGCTGAACAAAATTATATTGATCACTGAGAATATCCTTGAGCAGAGTTTCTTAAACTGTGCTGCTCCGGGTGTTTTGGACTTTAGCTCTCACAATTCCGAACAGCTGGTGAGCTGGCTGGGATTTCTGGAAGCTGAAACCTGAAATTTATTTATTTTATTTATTTATTTACTGTCTTTGTATACTGCCTTTCTCAGTCCATAGGCTACTCAAGGCGGTTAACAGGGTAAAATTCAATGCTTACAATATCATACATACAATTAAAAACATAACATATAATAAAAACTAAACATATCAATAAAATATAAATTCATAGTGTCTCCTCGTTAAAAAGAGCATTCTGAACTCCACCAATGATGGAATTGAACTAATTTTGGCACACAGAACTCCAATAACAAACAGAGAATAGTGGAAGGGTTTGGTGGGCATTTACCTTGGCAGTTGGGAGTTGTAAAATAAAGTAATGAGAAGTAAAGTAATGAGAAAGTGTTGGTTTCTAATACATGTAATTTATTTATGCTTGTGCGTAAACAGTATTTTTTGCTGTTTCATAGAATCATAGAATCAAAGAGTTGGAAGAGACCTCATGGGCCATCCAGTCCAACCCCCTGCCAAGAAGCAGGAATATTGCATTCAAATCACCCCTGACAAATGGCCATCCAGCCTCTGCTTAAAAGCTTCCAAAGAAGGAGCCTCCACCACACTCCGGGGCAGAGAGTTCCACTGCTGAACGGCTCTCACAGTCAGGAAGTTCTTCCTAATGTTCAGATGGAATGTTGTTAGTGTTGATATGGAGATCGTCTGGTTTACCTACTCTGGAACATGCAACATATAATTGTCCTTCTTCAGGGATCCCTTTCAAATCTATGATACTATATCTCTCTGTGTGTGAATCATATCTACAGTATCTTTATATCTATGGCTGAATGGCTCTTTGTCAGGAGGGCTTTGATTACGTTTTCTTGCCCTGGTGAAGGGAGTTGGACTGGATGGCCTCAAGTATTTTCTGTTGGTCATGGGGGTTCTGTGTGGGAAGTTTGCCCCAATTTTCTTGTTTGTGGGGTTCAGAATGCTCTTTGATTGTAGGTGAACTATAAATCCCAGTAACTACAACTCCCAAATGTCAAGGTCTATTTTCCCCAAACTCCACCAGTGTTCACATTTGAGCATATGGAATATTTGTGCCAAGTTTGGTCCAGACCGATCATTGTTTGAGTCCATAGTGCTCTCTGGATGTAGGTGAACTACAACTCCCAAACTCAAGGTCAATGCCAACCAAACCCTTCTAGTGTTTTCTGTTGGCCATGGGAGTCCTGTGTGCTATGTTTGGTTCAATTCCATCATTGGTGGAGTTCAGAATGCTCTCTGATTGTAGGTTAAATATAAATCCCAGCAACTACAACTCCCAAATGACAAAATCAATTTTTCTGGAGTGATCGTCACTCCTTGGGTTAGTAGGTGTCTTGTGTCCAAATGCGGTGTCAGTTTGTCCAGTGGTTTTTAAGTTATGTTAATCCCACATACGAACATTACATTTTTATTTATATAGAAGAAGAAGCATTGCATTACCCTTTGAGTATATACAAGCCTGTGACAGATATTCAAATTGTATTACATTGGAATTAAGCTCATGTTTTACACATGTCTTCTTAAATTGCTTCTGATGTTTTGTTGATTTTTTTATTTATAACTGAGAGCCATCATAGTGTAGTGGTTTGAACTACAACTCTGGAGACCAGGGTTTAAATCCTCACTCAGTTATGGAAAGTCACTGGAAGACCTTGGGTAAATCACACTCTCTCAGCCTAGAGGAAGACAAAAGCAAATTCTTCTAAACAAATCTTTCTAATAAATCTCTATTATATGTTTCCCATTGGTCAATTACAACTTGAATGCACATAACAGTAACAAAGGTTTATAATTATGTGGTGGAGGTGCCTTATTTGGAGGCTTTTAAACAGAGCCTGGATGGCCATCTCTTGGGGGTGCTTTGAATGTGATTTTCCTGCTTCTTGGCATAGGGTTAGACTGGATGGCCCATGAGGTCTCTTCCAATTCTATGATTCTATTGATTTTTACTGTATTTTATTATTTATTATTTATTTACTTACTATATTTGTATAGGTGACTCGGGGCGGTTCACAGTTGGTACCAAGACCATAAAATACAATTAAAAACATTAAAATATTATAAAACCATAGCAAAGTCAATAACAAACATATATCATTAGCGTCTCCTCGCTGAAAACATTGGCCAATCCCATCGTCTAATCGTTCCATTTTCCTAAGTCAGTTACACTGTACTTGCAAACGCTTACTCAAAAAGCCAAGTCTTGACTTTTCTCCGGAATGTTAAAAGGAAGGGGGGCGATTGGATATCCCTAGGGAAGGCGTTGGTATGATGTTACTTTAAATCAGGGGTCCTCAAACTACGGTCCGGGGGCCAAATATGGCCCTCCAAGGTCATTTACCCGGCCCTCGCTCAGGGTCATCCTACGTCTGAAACACTTGATAGCACACAACAACAACAATCCTATCTCATCAGCCAAAAGCAGGCCCACACTTCCCAATGAAATACTAATAAGTTTATATTTGTTAAAATTATTCTTCATTTTAATTATTGTATTGTTCTAAAGTGTTTTTTGCACTACAAATAAGATATGTGCACTGTGCATTCATGGTTTTTTTCAAATTATAATCTGGCCCTCCAACAGTTTGAGGGACTGTGACCTGGCCCTCTGTTTAAAAAGTTTGTGGACCCCTGCTTTAAATAGTTTAGTGAAGGTAAAAATTTTCCCTTGACATTAAGCCTAGTTGTGTCTGACTCTGGGTGGTGGTGCTCATCTCCATTTCTAAGCCGAAGAACCAGCATTGTCTGTAGACACCTCCAAGGTCATGTGGCCAGCATGACTGCATGGAGCACCATTACCCTCCCGCAGAAGCGGTACCTATTGATCTACTCACATTTGCATGTTTTCAAACTGCTAGGTTGGCAGTAGCTGGGGCTAACAGTGGGAGCTCACCCTGCTCCCTAGATTTGAACTACTGACCTTTCAGTCAGCAAGTTCAGCAGCTCAGCAATTTAACCCACTGCACCACCGGGGGCTCATATAAGAATTATTGTTATTATAATTATAATTATAATTGTATTATTATTATTATTATCATTACCCACATCCCCGCCTGTCTTGAAGTAGGGTACAACCTCATTAAAACAGAAAGATAAAGCAGAATATAATTGAAATACATAGTTATATTCTGTATTATTATAAATATTTAAGATCTTTGCTGTGTTTTTAGCAATGAAATAGGTTCAAGCTTCTTAAATTTAATTTAAAGTACTTTTTTTGGACTTCTGGTGAACTCTACACATTTTCAGTGTAGATGGGGCCTTTGTTGTGATCAGAACTGGAACTTTCAAGACTGCTTCCTGAGCTTTCTTTGTGCCTCTTCCATTGCCACCTCTTCTATGTCTTTAGTTTTAAACCTTTTTGCATAAAGAATGGGATAAGAATACATGAGAACATATCGATAACACATTTTTGTATATCTGTAATTTGTAAAAAGATAAGTTGTACTGCTGTGCTTCTGTTAATCAATTTTTCCCCAAGTGCAAACATTAATCTCTCCTTTCTCCTTTTCTCTTTCTGATGCCTTTTCTTCAGAGGGGCTTTTTCCGTTGTGCGACGCTGTGTCAAACTCTGCACTGGACATGAATATGCAGCCAAGATTATCAATACCAAGAAGCTCTCAGCAAGAGGTAGGCTCCATTTTCTCTGTGTAGTAGCCGTTAACATCTTCTATTACAGGCTAGTTCTCTAATAGCAACCTACTTGCTTATGACAGCCACTTATAGGATCTATCAAGAGAAAGACATGATGTTGCACCCTTCAAATATCAAGAAGTATGGGATAATAAGTAGAATAACTATGTAACAACATTTGAAACATTTCCTGTTCCTGATTTAAAAGTGTTATTCCTGTTTAATTGTGTGGTACTTATTGTAAAAATAAGGAGCTGCGGTGGTGCAATGGGTTAAACCCTTGTGCTGGTGGAACTACTGACCTGAAGGTCAGTGGTTCAAATCCATGAGACCGGGTGAGCTCCCATCTGTCAGCTCCAGCTTTCCATGTTGGGACATGAGAGAAGCCTCCCACAGGATGGTAACACATCCGGGCATTCCCTGGGCAACATCTCTGCAGGCAGCCAATTCTCTCACACCAGATGTGACTTGCAGTTTCTCAAGTCACTTCTGACATGATTTTTAAAAAAATTGAAAATAGTTGTTATATTCCAGAAACTTCATTGGTCGCTGCCACAAACTAAATCGAATTGGTTTTAGACTCTATGGGATATTCATTGATAAAGTATGGCAAAATGTGCTGCAGGATGTCCCTCAAAAACAAAGTTTTTGCAGTTTAATAAACCTTTTCCATGTTTTTATGATAGAACCCAATTAAGAAGTGGCATTTATAACCCAGGAACAAAAAATGTGTCACATAGGGATTTATTGCAAAGGACACTAGACAGCTATAAATCATGAATGCAGTAATCTGATGTAAGTTTTGGGTTTTTTGCATTCTGTATTTTGCTGTTATGCATTGTATTTTGGGGGCTTGGACTCGTATTAGCTGCCCCGAGTCCCCATTGGGGAGATAGTGGCAGGGTATAAATAAAGATTATTATTATTATTATTATTATTATTATTATTATTATTATTATTATTATTGCAGATTGAAAAAAAGGCAATTGAAAGGCTCTCCCTTCATTTCTTTTAAAACCCTCCTACCAGATACGTCCTACCTCTGTTCATGCCCAGCGTTTATTTTTTAAATTTTAAACTATTACATTTGGCCCAGCCATAAGTTTTATAATTCCTTGTGTGTTATTATTTATGTGTGAGTTATATTAATTGTATTGTTTTATTTGCTTATTGTTTTTGTTCAATTGATGTGTTGTCGGGCTTGGCCTCATGTAAGCCACTCCAAGTCCCCTTGGGGAGATGGTGGCAGAGTATAAATAAAGTTATTATTATTATTATTATTATTATTATTATTATTATTATTATAAATGCTTTAAGAAATACAGTAGAGTCTTGCTTATCCTACATAAACAGGCCAGCAGAACGTTGAATAAATGAACGTGTCGGATAATACGGAGTCTTCTACTGTTACCTGTCCGATACCTAGAATACTAACAACACCTAGACACCTAGAATACTAACAACAATAACTCAAAGGGTTAAGGCAAGGCAACATCTCAGGGCTAGAGCAGCCCAGCAGGAAGTGCCCAGATACAGAAGAGGAGCGTAGAAATCACAGAGGGAAGGAGGGAGGATGCTTCCGCTTCTGGTCCTGCCACTTTCCCCCGCTTTCTCTCCTCCTCCTCCTCCTCCTCCTCCTCCTCCTCCTCCTCCTCCTCCTCCTCCTCCTCCTCCTCCTCCCTCCTCCTCCTCCTCCTCCTTGTCTTGCCTTTTTCACTTATTGGGAATGGAGATAGAGTTGGGGAGTGCTCTTTTTTTGAAAGGGAAACACTGGAGGAAAAGAAGGGGCATTGGATAAGAGCATCGGATAAGACGGAATGTTGGATAAGCGAAAGTCGGATAAGTCGGATAACTCTACTGCACTTGTATTGTCGAAGGCTTTCATTGCTGGAATCACTGGGTTGTTATAGGTTTTTCGGGCTATATGGCCATGTTCTAGAGGCATTCTCTCCTGACGTTTTGCCTGCAACTATGGCAAGCATCCTCAGACCTCACAACCTCTGAGGATGCTTGCCATAGATGCAGGCGAAATGTCAGGAGAGAATGCCTCTAGAACATGGCCATATAGCCCGAAGAAACCTACAACAACCCATCTACTGTACTTGTTTTTTCCTTCATTCGCATTTGTGAGACAAGTTTCAAAACTTTCCTTATTGTTTGCAGAAGGGATGGGAGTATTTCATCACTTTCCTGATGCCGACCCTACCATTGGGTACCGCAAGATGGCAAATGCTTTGGGTGAAAGTGAAAACAATATCTCGCCAATTGTCATAGGTTTTCCAGCAGTGTCACCACTTTAAAAGCTATAGCTCGGTGCTATGGAATCCTGTAGTTTGATGAGGCATTGGGACTCTTTGGCATAGAAGGCGTGTTAAACAAATTGTTTTTAAATTATTGTTTTAATATGTTTTTCATTAAATTTTTATTGACAGGTATGCGGTTACAAAAAAAGTGGGGGAACAATGTGTGTAGTGTAGAAAAGTAGGAAAAAGAGAAGGACAAAGTGAGAGATCAAAAATAGACCAAAAAAAGACGGGGGGTGGGGGGGGGGGGAGAGAGAGAGAGAGAAAGAGAAAACCCCACTGTTTCTTGACTTCCATCTGTTTTAATGGTTTTTAATGTATTTGCTGAATGTGTTTTTGATTGTTTTATGATGATGCATCTAATGACGCTTGTTGCGAGGCCGCCCTAAATGCCCCCCCGGGGGGGGGGGGTGAGAAGGGCGAGGTATAAGCATAATAAATAAATAAATAAATAAACTAGGCTGGGTAGGTAAAGGTTTTCCACAACATGAGGGGTTGTTTTCATCTCCATTTGTAAACTGCCCTGAGTTGCCTTCGGGCTGAGAAAGGTGGTATATAAATATGGTTAATAAATAAATAAACAAACAAATAAATTTTTTTCGAACTGCTTTTATAAGGTCTTTAGAAGCTGAAAAGTACAACTCCCAGGATTCCGTAGCATTTGAGTCATGGCAGTTACAGTGGAGTCAAACTGCATTAGTTCTACAGTGTAGATGCGCATTTGGAGGATTTATGCCCCTGCTTCTGTTATAGTACACTGTTTCATCACCAGTGTTAAATAAGATTATGGGAATGGGGCACCACCTTTGTCTCAGGTGCCCAATGGTCTTCGGCTGGCCTTGAATTTCTCTGGTATTGCTTTTGTCCTTGGAGTCTTGAAATTTATAAAATGAAAGGATTGGATATTCATACTTTATAGACTGGAACGAGCAGGGTGGCAATGGGAATTTATATATGGAAGGACACATAATGAAGGCAAAGTGAAAGAAATTGAGTTTGCTGAAGCAGCATAACTGTGAGCATTTAACCCAGGCCTTTTGTGATTGTGGAGTTGGGCAAGAGGTGAGGCCGGCACTCAGTAAGCCATGAAAGTCTCAATTTTAGAAAGCCTCTAAAGCAGGCATGGTCAACCTTCGGCCCTCCTGGTGTTTTGGACTTCAACTCCCACAATTTCCAACAGCCGGTAGGCTGTTAGGAATTGTGGGAGTTGAAGTCCAAAACACCTGGAGGGCCGAAGTTTGACCATGCCTGCTCTAAAGCAAAGTGAAGCACATCCCAGTGAACCATTAGTAAAGCTGGTATACATCCTGCTTAAATAGAAGTTTGGCTATGAAGACGTAGATATAGCCACTTATAACTAGTCGAGTTAAAGCTTGTTTTGTGTTTCATTTTTGTTTGTTTGTAAACTTATAAGACCTATTTTGTTCTGAGTCTGACTATTGATCAATGCAGCTCACACTTTCTTGACTGACAGAAAGCATCTCAGATTTCCAGTATTTCAAAAAAAGATCTAGCTAGAGATGCTGGGAAACTAGATTATTTTGTTCATAAAGTTTGTCCTGCACCCAGCCTGTTATATGTATTGTATAGTCATGTGTTTTAATATATGTGTTTTGTTGTATGTATTTTATGTTAATGTGTTTGTGCTGTGAGGAGAGGCGGATTATGAATAAGTGTATTATTATTATTATTATTATTATTATTATTATTATTATTATTATTATTATTTGAAACACAACAAGATGAGTTCACAGCAAACACTCTGCTGGTTATTGTATTGGATCACACGTCTGACACTTCCCAAGTGTCTAGGACTGTGTGATGTATCGGCGAGTGATGCGTGCAGATCCCAGTAAGGTGGCTTTCTGCAGCTGGCAGATGGTAATTTTGTCAGCGCCAATTGTGTTTAAGTGCAGGCCAAGGTCTTTAGGCACTGCACCCAGTGTGCCGATCACTACTGGGATCACCTTTACTGGCTTGTGCCAGAGTCTTTGCAGTTCGATCTTTAAATCCTCATATCTTGTAAGCATTATTATTATTATTATTATTATTATTATTATTATTATTATTATTTGATGATGATGATGATGATAATAATAATAATACGAAGTTACAGCTTCAATTTTATACACAACTATGCAGTTCCATTTGGTACTATGCACCCACAAATCTGGGAGTTTTCAGTTCTTGCAACTATACAATTAATGTATTGTTGAACGCTTTCATGGCCGGAATCACTGGTTTGCTGTGAGTTTTCCGGGCTGTCTGGCAATATTCCAGAAGCATTCTCTCTTGACGTTTCACCTGCATCTATGACAGGCATCCTCAGAGGTTGTGAAGTACCAATTAAGTCCTTGATTCACAAGAAATTGTTAGTATCATAGACCTTATGGTACTGTTTCATTATCCGGGTGGAGGTCACAAGGGGGGCACTAAAGAGAGAAGGATAGTCCATTTTACAGGCGGGGAGTTGAAGGCAGAAAACCATTCCCCCTCTCCACTTCCCAAGTCATGAATAAGGGTTGTTTCCATGATGGGGACGTGGGTGGGGGGAATAACAGGAAGAAATGGTTTCCTCCTTCAACCCACCCTCCACCCATATAAAATGGACTATCCTTCTCCCTTTAGCGCCCCCTTGTGGCCTCCACCCAGATAATAGAACAAAACCGATCTTCTTTACTGTATAGCAGTGGT